CCTTGATTATAATAATAATAATATGTTTCCACCATCACCTCTGCTTCTTCTATGAGTGCAGTCTGGAAAAAAGTGAGGAAATTGAGTGGTAAATACTCTCCTGAACCCACTCCTGTTCTACGGGTCGCTGTTTGATGTAGCAAACCCTCTCGACGTTGCCATTGAACTTGGCACACATCTAGTCCGTATTTCCCGAGGGCTCCATCTATGCCTCTCGTTTCTTTCCTCAAAGTCTGCCAGAGAGTTAGTACCCTTGGACTTTTCTTCTCTCATAGCAAACAGTATAAGTGGCCTTTTACAATCAAGAACTGGAAGGCAACACTCTCACTTGCCGAACATCGGCAGCTGGTCCTGACGACATTCATATTCGTATTGTTACAACATTTACATCGTCAGCCCTTGTAGTCCTCTTACACCTCTTTCAATCTATTGGGCAAAAGAGTTCTTCCCAGGTGGTGGACATCTGCCATTGTTCCTCCCTTTCCACAAACCGGTACAACAGACAATGATCCTCCCACTATCGCCCCATCGCTCTTACTAGTGCAGTTTGCAAAGTGATGGAACGTCCTCGTAATAATCGACATTTATGTGGCATTTAGATACACAACAGACTCTCCGCTAGTCAATATGGCTTTTTCGTAAGGTCGTTCTACCATAACCTCCTTACTACGCTTTGGATACGTATGTTCGTAATGCCTTTGCGAATAATCACTCAGTTATTGCCATATTTTTTGACCTGAGAAGGCATATGACACAACTGGAGGTATATATATTTTGGCCCCAGCCCCTTCCTTAGGCCTCCAAGGCAATCTACCATCCCTTCCTTAATACCTTTATAACTGACAGACATTTCCCGTGTACGAGTCACTAAGTTCTATTCGCCCGGACTTCGTCCAAGCTGAAGTGTCCCCTCAGGGATGTGTTCTAAGCACAACACTTTTTCTCCTTGCAATAATTATTTGGCCTCAGAGCTTCCACCCAATATTTTGTCATCACTCTATGTTAGACTTCGCTATGCTTGTGCATTGCGCTGACTGTCATCTTAATGCAGTTCTCTCCAGCATGTGCGGTCGACGTGTTTCCACTTGGGCACCACGCATAGGGGTAAAAATTTTCAAGTACCAGAAACTCACTCAAATTCCTTTCCGACTAGACGCACTGTTATCTCCGATCATCCATTGTATCTCTATGTCACCTCGTATCCCCCGAACGTGAGTACAGTCATGTTTCTAGGCCTTCTCTTGACCAGTCGGTTATCCTGGAAACCTCACATAACCTCCTCTGAAGGCAAACTTGTCACAGCCGGCTAAACCTTCTAAAACCCTGGCTCATCTCCTGGGAGCTGATCGTCGAACTCTGCCTTCGCCTACATTCAGAGCCCTCGGATTTATATCGAAACTCGATTATGGTGACCAGATTTATTCTGCGCCTCTCCTGCTACTCTACTCTCTAGCCTTAACTCTATCCATCATCACCAGGATTACGGTTGTGAGTCAGTTGGTGCTGTTTCCGCTCTACCCTGTTGAGAGCCTCTTACAGAAGCGAAGGTTTCCATCCTTGTCCCTGATCGCCGTGATGCCCATTGCCTTCGCTACTATGTATCGCTCTCACGATACTACACAAACCTTTCCATTTATATAAGGTCACTGATATTAGTAGACCATTCTTCATTCGTGTTCGCCGCCCCTGTTTGTCTTCCGTCCCATTTCTCTTCGCCTACATTCACTCTTGTCTTCCCTTCAGTTTACCACCTTATATTTACATGTAAGCATCTCACTTTTCCCTACCCTACCCCCCGTGGGAAATTTCCAGCTGTATCGGTCTGTTCTTTCCTCACTCCCTGCTCGAAAGCTCAACTGCTACGGTGGCTTCCCGCTCTTCTTTTCTTGCTCACTTCCTCTCCATTCTCAGCCACCGCTGTGTACACAGATGGCTCTAAGTCTTCAACGGGCGTCGATTCGCAGCAGTGTTTCCGGACAGCGTCGTGCGGACATTTACTATCTTTCAGCTAGCATTCTATACTGCTGAACTGTATGCCATTCATGCAGCATTAGTTTCGTATCGCATCTATGCCTTGTCATCATTTTAGTAGTCTCCGACTCCCTTAGTGCTCTAACAGGCTATACGAAAATTTGAACATCTCATCCCCTAGTTCTCCAAATCCAACTTTGCTATGCCGTATCTCTACCAAACAAAATATATGCTTTTTGTGGGGTCCCGGTCATCGTCGACGTACAGGGGTAATGAACAGGGCAGATCACTGCTGCGCGGTCAGCAGTACATGACCTACCAATTTCCTATCGAGGTTTCCATTTCTGGACTATTTTGCTGCAATAGCTACCCACTCTTTGCACCCAATGGCAACAACGTGGTCACTCTGCTCGGTACCAAACTTCCATTCTATTAACCGAGCCTAGGTACTGGCCGTCCTTCTTGTCATCAGAGCCGAATTGGGAGACCACTCTCTCCCAGCCTTCGCATTTGGTCACACCGGTCTTACTCCTGGGTAATCTCATGGAGTAGCACCCTGTTCCTCCTCTGTGAGCAGATGTCCAAGTACCAGTATCGATTAGCCACAGTCTGTTATACTGCCCTCTCTATCAACGAGCACGCAGAATTTACCTCACAACTCGTCTTCGTTCTACTACACTCTCTCTTTACCTTCCCTTCTTGCTGATGGACCCCACCTTTACTCCTGACTCTCTCAATGACATCTTGACAACGACTGATTTACTCCACAAACTCTGATGATCCTTTTATCGGCACTTCGTTTTCATCCCCTCAGCCCTTTCTAGTTAGTCTCTTGCTGTGCCCTTTACCCTTTTCAACCATCCACTGCCCCCGCTGTTACCGTAACCTTTACTCATCATCTCCCTTTTGCCACCTATGCCCTCGGCTTCCTTCCTGCCCTGCAGCGCTGTATAGTCCATGGGCTTACCTTCTTTTTATTATAATAATAATAATTGTCTTGATGATTAATTAGCCAACTCTGCAACCTTAGTGTCTCCCATAAGGTCCAGACTCTTGGGCCAAGGTACCAGATGGAATACTGAATGGAAACTTCCAGCCATGGGGAATGATGGAGGAATGCATTGAGCTGCATGTTCATGAGTTTATCAAGAACATGATCAACACCACCTTCGACGGGAAGTACTGCGCCATCTCCTTTAGGTGAGCCAACAGCGCTTTTGTGCTATGAGACCTGGGAAGGTAGGAGCAGCAGTTGGATGTCATTGGAATGAAAGTAGTAGGCACAGGGAAGGTAACTGCAGCCAGTTTTAGGCTTTGTAAACGTAGCTGCGGCCGCTATATGGCTTTGGGAAGGTAGTTGCTGCCACTATAAGGCTTTGGGAAGGTAGTTGTGGCCGATATAAGGCTTTGGGAAAGTAGTTGTGGTCGTTATAAAGCTTTGGGACGGTAGTTGCAGCCGCTGTAAGACTTTGGGAAAAGTGTAAGGACGTCTACAAGGCTTTGTGAAGGTAAGACTGGAAATGTAGTGACTACCACTGGGAGTTACCCAGCTTTTTTACTGAATTTAAGATAATTTTAGGTTTGTAATAAATTTCTTTAATTTCAGTGATTAATAGGATTAAAATTTGCTGATAAGGTCAATTATGAGAAGGAAAACTGTATGGATAAGTTAATAGAGAGAAACACAAGAAACGTGTGGTAAAATTTAGTAAGGTCACACATGGGATTGTAAAATAGACATAGTGGTTAACCAACACCTTTCTTGATATGGTTGAAGCATGGGTTGTAATGTGTGCAGCGAGGAGGAGGCTGGAAGCATGGAATATTGCATCCTAGGGCAATGTGTGTGTAAATATTATAAAGAGAATTCATAGTTCGAAGTACGAAAGAGGTGCGGGGTTTCTGAAAGTATTGTTCAGAAAACTGAGGAGGGGTTTTAGAGGCGTTTGGACATATTGGAGAGGATGGAGCAAAAAATGATGACTTAGAGAGCGTATAAATCTCAGTGCAGTGGAACATAAGAACATAAAAAGTAGGAACACTGCAGAAGGGCCTACTGGCCCATACGATTGCAGTCCCTTAATCCAAACGACATCTTCTACCTAAAGCAACTCAATAAAAAACTTCCCTAACCCTTGACACAACCAATCAAAACCCGTGGTAGGATCGACCTATGGTAGAAAGGAGGTGGTAAATGAGGTTTTGTTTGCGAGGGTCTTGGACTTCCCAACAAAGCGTGTTTGAGCGTGTTAGAAAATAGTGGAGGCAAGTAGTTTTTATTTTACGAATTGAACGACTGTTGGAGTGTAAGGCCAAAAGTAAATAATGAGGATTCGGGGAAACCATTTAGCCGGACTTGAGTCTGGAAAGGTGTTAAGTAACAGTGTGTGCACTCTGAAAGAGAGCTGAGATATTGGAATTTGAATGTGGCATCTGAACTCCAGTATCGGGTGCCTCTGGCAAGACAGTTGATGGTAGTGAGTGATGTTGAAAGTGCATCGGTCACCCAAATTCCATTGAGACGGCCGGTGTTTATATATTAACAATGTGCAACACCAATTTCTTTTTCAATCCTTAACTTATAATACATCTGTAACGAGCGAAATTTTTAAGGTGTCATTTCCAACTGGACAATAAGTTTATTGTAATTTAGCTATATTTCCATATAGATCTTCTTTTAAAGTTAATATTTCTATTTTCCAGAGCTCTTTCGCGTTAAATGGGTCATATACCAACCCTGTCAAACAAAAATTTTAGTCCCACTTTCCGTTGTTTGCCTCTCCTAGTACGCTGTCTAAACGTTCCCACCTCAAAGTAGACCATGACTAGGCTTTTGCTGTCTAATCACTTAGGTGACCTGACCTGACTTTCTGGCTTCCTCCCCGTTTTCATTCACCTCCCAGACCTTAACAACTGGTTCGGAACAGGTTTAAGCATCGTCCATATATCTGTTTTTTTTTTTCCCCCCTCAGTGAACCTGCAGAACAACACAGATGAGGTCAGCCCTAGTGTGGCAACCTCGAATAAAACTTGTCTTGCCTTCTTTTCCATTGTCTTTTTACGGCACCTGCATGCCCCCTCCTGCACCGCTGACGACCTCAAGGTAAAGTGTGTTTCCTCCATCGTTATTGGTTGTTGGTGGGTTATAGGGCCAACTGAAACAGTTAGTTTTAATATGTTTTATTATGCACCCCATACCCATCCTGTGTGCGGTGTCATAAGATATAACAGAGGTACATAATTGGTCCCCAGGACTGGACTCCAAAGTTTTGAATAGCTGAGCAAGTTCGAGGTAATGAGACTCACAAGTTAACAAAAGTAATGAACTCACAATTTTACAAATTAACATACGCCGTATACTCCATCGTTAGTAAGGTTAATACTGAGTAGTCTCAAGATAGGTCGTAATGAACGACTGTTTATCCAGCTTGAAAGCTTCTGTGGCTGTGGAATGAAACAATATTGTTACAGTTGGTGCCTATAATCCAGACAAATTACAGAACTGTTTTCTATAAAATCATCCTCTTGTAAGCTTCGTGGCTCAGTAGTACAGCGTTGGATTTGCTACATACGAAGACCACGGTTCCAGTTATCGTCCCTTCTCTTTATTCATAATAGTGACTGTTGAAGGATATCCCATATGTAGACGAGAAAATAAGTAATGAAAATGAGGCTGTATATTTCGACTTTTTTTTCACCACCATACATACGTCCAAGACTTCTTGTTGAATTGGTAAAAGTCATCATTGGGAACCCGTGTTCCACTCTTACGTCCACTTACGTTCACACTATTTATCTGGGATCATTTCTACTTCAAAGGACTTGCACGTTTTTTACTTTCCGCGTCCAGAACTCCTGAGCCTCTATCTGCCTAGCGACTGGCACTATCCCTTCCACTTACAAATCTTCCTCTCCATCTATTCTTCCACTATCCCCACTTCCTCGCTCACCCCAGTGAGGGTCGTACCTATTCTGTCTTGTTCTTGTTAAGAACTTAAAACTTAAAAACTTCCCAGCTGGGGTCCTCTTCAGCATACAGATTCATTTCCATTACAGTTTTCTTATCGACAAGTAAGACAAGCTTCATAATGGAAATTAAATCCTTAGATGTTCGCTGTTATTTTCATACAAATGTTTTTTTTGCCTTATGGTTTTGGATTATTCAATAACTAATGTGTATTAATTCCTTAGTTTTCCATATTATTTCCCAAGTGGTTTTCTAAGATAAGATAAGATAAGATTTCGTTCGGATTTTTAACCCCGGAGGATTAGCCACCCAGGATAACCCAAGAAAGTCAGTGCGTCATCGAAGACTGTCTAACTTATTTCCATTGGGGTCCTTAATCTTGTCCCCCAGGATGCGACCCACACCAGTCGACTAACACCCAGGTACCTATTTGCTGCTAGGTGAACAGGACAACAGGTGTAAGGAAACGTGTCGAAATGTTTCCACCCGCCGGGAATCGAACCCGGGCCCTCCGTGTGTGAAGCGGGAGCTTTAGCCACCAGGCCACCGGGCACCCAAAGTTATACATGGTTATACTTAAAAACCTTATTTTTTTGGCCAGTGGAAGGCCAAAAGATAACCAAAACCTCCATTTGCGGGTCATCACATGACTTGTACCCGCGTCAGGCAACACTTGTCTTTGTAGATGAATTCAAATTCAAATTCAAAGTTTATTCTCTATAAGGATTACAATGTTGAATGGTTCAGAGAACCGACTCGTTAAATTAGACACATTTGCAACTCTTGGGTATCTTTATTGAGGAAACGTTTCGCCACACAGTGGCTTCATCAGTCCATACAAAGGAGAATCGTGAAGAACAGGAGGAGAATGAGGTAATCATTCCCTCAACCTTGAGTCGATGTGGTCAGTCCATCAATCTTGAATAGAATAGAGCATATGAGCGGAGAAGTGGCTGCAACTCTCCTGCCTACGGTATATAAGCTACTTCTCGGCACGTATGCTGTATTCTATTCATGATTGATGGACTGACCACATCGACTCAAGGTTGAGGGACTGATTACCTCATTCTCCTCCTGTTCTTCACGATTCTCCTTTGTATGGACTGATAATCCACTGTGTGGCGAAACGTTTCCTCAATAAAGATACCCAAGAGTTGCAAACGTGTCTAATTTATCAACACTTGTCCTGTTTCCTGACCAATCTTAACCAGTCTTTTATGTCCCTATTAGTGTTTAATATCTTATCAGTGGTGCCAGACTATTACCCCATTACTGTTAATTAATTCCATAGTTTTACCTATTATGTCCTAAGTAGTTCCCTATTTCCCCTTACCTAGTGTTGTCTTCCCCAGGTGACTCTGGACGACAGACTTCGTACCTTTGAGAAGAAGGCACGCGTAGTAGACTGCCAGACAATGCAAGATACCGTTGACCTGAATGCTGCTGACATTGCTGTTATGTAAGTCATGCTGTTACGTTAGTCATGCTGTTACGTTAGTCATGCTGTTACGTTAGTCATGCTGTTACGTTAGTCATGCTGCCATGAGTTACGCTGTCATGTTAGTCATTGTAGATGAATGGTTCAAAGAACCGACACGTTGTTAAATTAGACACATGTGCAACTCTTGGGTATCTTTATTGAGGAAACGTTTCGCTACACAGTGGCTTCATCAGTCCATACAAAGGATAAACTTGAAGAACAGGAGGAGAATGAGGTAATCAGTCCCTCAACCTCGAGTCGATGTGGTCAGTCCACAACGTTGAGGGACTGATTACCTCATTCTCCTCTGTTCTTCAAGTTCATCCTTTGTATGGACTGATGAAGCCACTGTGTGGCGAAACGTTTCCTCAATAAAGATACCTAAGAGTTGCACATGTGTCTAATTTAACATGTTAGTCATGTTGGTGTGTAAGTCATGCAAGTCGCATCATTATCTTGTAAGTCAATTTAACATTAAAATATCTTAATTACCTTGTTTCACATACAATTCAAGAGAGAAAGCATGTATTTACGGCATTCATGCATACAATACATATATGTACACAATTAATTCATACAATACCTCAGCTCTAGTTTAAGCGACGGTCACAGGTTCAATAGAAATATGAAGCGAAAGATTTAAAAAAAGGATTGACAAGTACAATGTTAACTGACTTGTAACTTTCTCAGTTTAACGTTAATGGGTGTATGGGCACCCATGGAAATATACCCATGGGGAGGCAAATAATTTGCCTTTGTTGTACGGGAAATTTTTCTCAGGTAATCATTGGAGAGGAATTAAATGTCATAAATAAGCGATGTTTATATATACATGGGTGTGTGTGTGTGTGTGTGTAAACCATACCCACATCTCTACTGTTCCTGCCTACTTTCTTATTCGACTGAAGAAGCCACTGTGGTAGCGAAACGTTTCGGAATAAAGTTGTCTAACTGTTGCATTAGTGTCTACCCTAACAACAGGTTAGAACCCGCGGTCAGAGTTATAAACTCAGACCGACGTGTTAACCACTGGGCCAGGTGGCTACAATAAGATTCATCCAACTAGGTATATTTATACACCATAGGAAGGTTACCATAGGTATATGTGCACTTAATTACCCTCTGTTTCCCATCTCCAGTGTTATACTGTGTATATTCGGTATTCTCCTGTTGGCTGGTGCGGTCTGTGACATCTCCATTAACTTCTACAATAAGCAACATTATCGGAAAGGTCAGTGGAGTGTTACTAGTTAGTCATTGAGTTTCGTTCCTGGTGTCCCATCTTCACCACAGTAAACTCAGTTTCTCATATTTACAAAGTCTGAAATTGTGTCTGACACTTGAACCTACAAATTATCATGCTTCTGGTCATTTCGAAGCCGGAGTTCTCTCTAAGGTATACATCAGGGTATGCTATAACGAATCTAATTGATTCTAGAACCTCGTTCGTTGTAGCTTTCGTACGTTATAGGCGTAGTCCGTTCCAGACCCCAAATACAACCACTTAACAATGTAAATTATAACATTGAAAGAAAAAGTACATGTGTATTGAAACTCAAATAAAGAATATAGTTAATAACTTTAATAAAAATAATAAATTAGTACAAAAATAAGAAAAAAAATCCTTTATCCCACATGGAGGACAGGAAGCAGTGGAGGAGATAATTACTGAGATGATGTGGAAAGAGTGGAGTCATCTTTCCTATATCCAGTTCCTCTGTAGGATCTGGAGTTTTTAATTTTAGTTTTATATGTGAAACTGTTCGTTATGTAAATACTAGTGTAAACTGTGGCCGGGCTGGCAGAGCTCTCGCTTTGCACACGGAGGGCCCGGGTTCGATTCCCGGAGGGGTAGAAACACTTCGACGCGTTTCCTTACACCTGTTGTCCTGTTCACCTAGTAGCAAGTAGGTATCTGGGTGTTAGTCGACTGGTGTGGGTGGCATCCTGGGGGACAAGACTGAGGACTAAAGTGGAAATAAGACAGACAGTCTTCGATGACACACTGACTTTCTTGGGTTATCCTGGGTGGCTAACCCTCCAGGGTTAAAAATCCCAGAAAAATCTTATCTACCCCACTGTACTTCAAGCTCGCACCCCGATGTACCTGAGAGCTAACTACTAGCTCTCAGGTACATCAGGGAAAGGGTGGGGTTTGAACCCATGGCGAGTGAGTCTTAATACTCACAGGACAGTGCGTTAACCACTCGGCCGCACTTGGTTTTTATAAGATTCCATAAGGTGCCCATTTACTGCTAGGTGAACACGGGGGGAACGAGTGAAAAGGATTAGTCAGCATTCTTTAATTTTTAAAGGAGTGGATGGGTAAGCCAGTGGAAGGCCTTGGTCAGAGCTCAAGTGGCGGGTCCTCATTAAGTCCCACGTCAGGAAACCGCTTGTTTTGTTTCTGACGAGACTTGACTAACTGAGAGATTAATTTAATCCCTATTTTAGAGATTAAAGTATTCTTGTTTGGTGTTGGAAAGGTTATTGTGCTATTTCCTTAAGTGACGTGTCTGACCACACTAGGTCAAGGCATTGGCTTAAGCCGGTGGGGAGAATTGGAGCTGAACATTAAAATGGTATAAAATACCGACAGATTGTTTAGGTAAGACACATATGCAACAGTTAGGTATCTTTATTTCGAAACGTTTCGCCTACACAGTAGGCTTCTTCAGTCGAGTACAGAAAAGTTGATAGAAGCAGAAGATACTTGAAGACGATGTAATCAGTCCATCACCCTTAAAGTTTTAAGGTGGTCAGTCCCTCAGTCTGGAGAAGAGCATTGTTCCGTTATTGTTTCAGACTATGGAACAATGCTCTTCTCCAGACTGAGGGACTGACCACCTCAAAACTTTAAGGGTGATGGACTGATTACATCGTCTTCAAGTATCTTCTGCTTCTATCAACTTTTCTGTACTCGACTGAAGAAGCCTACTGTGTAGGCGAAACGTTTCGAAATAAAGATACCTAACTGTTGCATATGTGTCTTACCTAACACAGAATTGGAGCTGCCTCGCATGGACCAGTAGACCTGTTGCAGTGTTCCTTATTTCTTATGTTCTTATGAGGGCAAATATTGTATTAGTGGGATGGATCTGTGAAGGACCTGCCTAGTATGGGCCAACAGGCCTGCTGCAGTGTTCCTCCTTTCTTATGTTCTTTTGTACTGAAACTACCTAGATAAATCCTTGCTGAGAGATGTCTCAGCGTGTGTGTGTGTGTACTCACCTAATTGTACTCACCTAATTGTGGTTGCAGGAGTCGAGGCTCAGCTCCTGGCCCCGCCTCTTCACTGATCGCTACTGGGTCCTCTCTCTCTCTGCTTCCTGAGCTTTGTCATACCTCTTCTTAAAACTATGTATGGTTCCTGCCTCCACTACTTCACTTGCTAGGCTATTCCACTTGCTGACAACTCTGACTGAAGAAATACTTCCTAACGTCCCTGTGACTCGTCTGAGTCTTCAGCTTCCAGTTGTGACCCCTTGTCCCTGTGTCCCCTCTCTGAAACATCCTGTCTCTGTCCACCTTGTCTATTCCCCGCAGTATCTTGTATGTCGTTATCATGTCTCCCCTGACCCTTCTGTCCTCCAGTGTCGTCAGTCCGATTTCCCTTAACCTTTCCTCGTACGACATTCCCTTGAGCTCTGGGACTAGCCTTGTTGCAAACCTTTGTACTTTCTCTAACTTCTTGACGTGCTTGACCAGGTGTGGGTTCCAGACTGGTGCTGCATACTCCAGTATGGGCCTGACATACACAGTGTACAGTGTCTTGAACGATTCCTTGTGTGTGTGTGTGTGTATATATATATATATATATATATATATATATATATATATATATATATATATATATATATATTATATATATATATATATATATATTATATATTATACATTAATTTGTCTGTTAGGGATTCAAGTATTTTTTAAACCTTAAAGACTCCCAGCCTAGTTGATAGGCTTTAAAATGCATGAACAAGCCAGTTGAATTAAACCTGTTTTCCTCCCCTGCTTCAGTGATTTCAGCACTTCTCTGTGATTAGAATAATGATATGATTTTGATGATAGCCCACAGAATAATTGTATTTTTTTGATAGCTCACATAACATGAAGTGTGAATTTAAGTAATTAAAACTGTATTTACTCTGACATTCCAGGTCCCCTGCGGTTCCTGTTGGTCTTCTCCGCCTATAGCAACTTGAAGAAAATTTTTACCATAAATAAGAAAGAAAACCCTGAGGTGATTTCCTGCATTCACGGAATGAGGTAAGAATACTAAAGGCGTGATGGATTTTTTTCCATCAGGAAACGAGCGTTTCCTGACTGGCCAGATTCACAAGCTGACCTGATACTTTCATCAGCGAACAAGACAATTGTTTCTTGACCCGTGTCTTAGTCCACCATTAGAGCTTTTGGTCATCAGACCGAGCCTCTCCAGGTTAGGTTAGATAAGATTTGTCAGGAAACAGGATAAGTGTTTCCTGACGCGGGTCTTAGTCATATGATGACCCGCAAAAGGCTCTCCATTCTTTTTGATTCACCGGTACTCTCCCGATCCGGGTCTTTTCCAGATGGTGACCCCGGACTTCGCTCCCTGTCTTGGGAGTGTCTGAGACCTATGTCTCCCATGGGAGGAGGTACAAGTACCTCCTCATCTTCTGGGACCAACTGTCCCCAGGCCTAGCCCCATTCCCTGCCCTCACGGGGCTCGTAGGAAGAAACTAGGCCTCCTTACTAATTCACCTTTTTAAAAAATAATATTTTTAAGAGTATTGAGTGATTATATGTGTCTTTTATACATATATTATTTCATATATTGTAATATTTTACAATATTCTAATCTGACATTGTTTGCCACAGAGTGTTATCTATGACCTGGGTAGTGTGGGGCCATAGCTTCTTCATGTTATTCTTCTCCTCTTCCAACATTCTCGGTATTCAGTCTGTAAGTAGTGCTGTAGATTTTCATAATAATCAATATACAGTGAGTGTTGTGTATTACTCAGAATATATGCACTGACTATTCATGAGAACATAGAGAATCACTGCAACAAGTCTACTGTCCCATACTAGGCAAATTTTTTCTTTTCAATCCCTATTTCTTGCGGAGTAACCCAGGAAGGACGGTGGCTTCCCTACTCACCTGAACCCTTCCCTGCTTATCCCTGTCATTAATTTCTTCTGTTGACAGGTAACAGACGACGTGATAGATGAGACTGCTGATAACGCGACTTTCAGTGTGGATACCTTCTTCTTCATTGGTGGCCTCTTACTGACTTATGGAATCCTCAATGAGTACAGCCGAGTTGGAAAGGTCAACTGGATAATGTATTATGTACACCGTTTCATCAGGTTAGTCCTCGTTCATAATTTGTAATATTTTACAATTAAGAATAAAACTAAGTATGCCCGAAATGCCTAGTCATGCTAAGCGTTCTAGTGGTACACTCTGTAATCACAATTTTACTACATGTAAACCAAACAATAACCAAATTTCTGTAAACTCAGCATTGTAATCCTTATAGAGAATAAACTTTGAATTTGAATTGAATATGTACTAAATAATGATTGATAATTAACGTAATATTGCACACACATTTATGTTGTTCTCCTTTCCACTGCGTCTTTCATAATGTATTTTATTGTTAAATGAAGTTCGCCTAGCATAAGTAAGTAAATAAGTAAGTAAGTAAGTTTATTCAGGTATACACAAATACAGTTACATAGAATTAACATACATAGCAGCATATGTGTAGAGAACCTGGGATAACCCAAAAAAGTCAGACAGAGTGACTTATTTCCATTGGGGATGGTAGAAGAAAAAATACTTAAACAGCTCTGGGTAGAATCTTGAGTCGTCCAAACAGCTCTGGGTAGAATCTTGAGTCGTCCAAACAGCTCTGGGTAGAATCTTGAGTCGTCCAAACAGCTCTGGGTAGAATCTTGAGTCGTCCAAACAGCTCTGGGTAGAATCTTGAGTCGTCCAAACAGCTCTGGGTAGAATCTTGAGTCGTCCAAACAGCTCTGGGTAGAATCTTGAGTCGTCCAAACAGCTCTGGGTAGAATCTTGAGTCGTCCAAACAGCTCTGGGTAGAATCTTGAGTCGTCCAAACAGCTCTGGGTAGAATCTTGAGTCGTCCAGAAGTATACGATTATTCTCTTCTCTGAGGATGAGGGTTCCCAGTCAGTTCCAGAGGTGGTACCTCACTAAATGGTGTGTGTGTGTGTGTACTCACCTAATTGTGGTTTCAGGGTCCGATACTCAGCTCCTGGCCCCGCCTCTTCACTGAGTGCTACTAGGTCCTCTCTCTCCCTACTCCATGAGCTTTATCATACTTCATCTTAAAACTATGTATGGTTCCTGCTTCCACTACATCACTTGCCAGACTATTCCACGTCCTAGCAATTCTGTGACTGAAGAAATACTTCCTAACATCCCTTTGACTCATCTGAGTCTTCAATCTCCAATTGTGTGTGTCTACGTGTATAATCACCTAGGAGTGGTTGCAGGGGTTGAGTATCAGCTCCTGGCCCGTGTGTGTAATCTTGCTCCATGATGAACAACCTAACAAACACTAACGTATTGGCTTAAGCCGGTAGGGGACTTAGAACATAAGAAAGAAGGAACAATGCAGCAGGCCTACTGACCCATGCAAAGCAGGTCCATGCCCCCCCCCCAGATTAGCCCAATGACTCGCCTAGTCGGGTCACTTCCACTTAAGGAAGGAGCAAGGCATCAGTCCTAGTAGCACAAGCTAGTCAGGTCCAACTCGCACCTACCCACACCCGCTCATGTATTTATCTAACCTATTTTTAAAACTACACAACGTTTTAGCCTCAATAACTGTACTCGGGAGTTTGTTCCACTCATCCACAACTCTATTACCAAACCAGTGCTTTCCTATATCCTTCCTGAATCTGAATTTTTCCAACTTGAAACCATCGCTGCGAGTCCTGTCTTGGCTGGAAATTTTCAGCACGCTATTTACATCCCCTTTATTCCTGTTTTCCATTTATACACCTCGATCATATCCCCCTAATTCTACGCCTTTCGAGAGAGTGCAGATTCAGAGCCCTCAGTCTATCCTCATAGGGAAGATTTTTGATACATGGGATCATCTTTGTCATCCTCCTCTGTACGTTTTCCAGAGCATTTATATCCATTCTGTAATACGGTGACCAGAACTGAGCAGCATAATCTAAATGAGGCCTAACCAAGGATATATAGAGCTGAAGAACAACCTGAGGACTTCTATTATTTATACTTCAAGATATGAAACCAAGGATCCTGTTAGCTTTATTGCGAACACTACTGCACTGTTGTCTTGGTTTTAGATTACTGCTAACCAGAACTCCTAAATCCTTTTCGCAATCAGTAGTATTAAGATCTACATTATTTAGTTTGTGGCATGGTTATTTTCCTATCCAACATTTAGAACTTTGCATTTGTCTATATTAAACTGCATCTGCCACTTCTCCGACCATTGCATCAGTCTATTCAAATCATCCTGGAGTGCACTAATGTCCTCATTAGAGTGAATTGGCCGGCCTATTTTGGTGTCATCAACAAATTTGCTTATGTCACTATTTATTCCCTCATGTATGTCATTTATGTAAATTGTGAACAACAACGGGCCCAACACTGACCCCTGCGGAACATCACTTGTGACGTGCCCCCATTCTGATTTCTCCCCATTTATGCAAACTCTCTGCTGCCTATTTGTCAGCCATGCCTCTACCCAGGAAAAAATTTCTCCTCCTATTTCGTCAATAGCCTCTGATGTGGAACTCTATCGAAAGCCTTACTGAAGTCCATATACACAATATCATATTCATTACCATGATCTACCTCCTCAAACACCTTAGTGAAAAAAGTTAGTAAATTCGTAAGACAGGAACGTCCCTTTGTAAAACCATGCTGAGATTCATTAATCAATTTATGCCTATCAAGATGACTACGAATTGCTTCGGCAATTATTGGTTCCATAAATTTTCCCACTGTGGAGGTAAGGCTTATTGGTCTATAGTTCGAAGCCAAGGACCTGTCACCTGCCTTGTAAATAGGTAATACATTTGCCATTTTCCACTTATCAGGCACTATGCCAGTTTGTAGTGATATGTTAAAAAGATTAGCCAAAGGTATGCCAAGTTCCTCTTTACATTCCTTTAACACCCTTGCAAACAGTTCATCAGGCCCTGGGGATTTGTTAGATTTTAATTTCTCTATTTGTCTGAGGACCATGTCAGTGATGATGTCACTAGTTACATGCATAGTTTATCATCGTCCTGTTCTGCATAAAATATTATTTCAGGAATTTCGCTAGTATTTACCTGGGTAAAAGCTGAGAGGAAGTACTGAAAAATTCACACACATCCTTATTTATCACTGTCAGTGATCTGACCCGAGTTACTTTTGGGTTAGTCTTCAAATCCCTTGAGACCTTAGCCTCATAATCCCTTTTTGTTTTTATTCCTTTGTTTTATTTCTCTCTTAAATTGGATATAATGATTTCTTAACTGCCCATCCTCTCTTTTGACATGCATATATATACGTCTCTTTTGACCAGTGAGATATTTTAATCTATTGTTCATCCATCTGGGATAATTTTTGTTAGATCTAATTTTCCTACTCGGAACAAAAGTTGTCTGGGCAGCTAGAACTATGCTCTGAAATACGTCATATTGGCAACCAAAATCACCTACCTGACCCATAGTCAGGACATCCCAATTTAGCCCACCCAGGTAATTTCTCAATCCCATGAAATCGGCCAAGCGAAAATCTGGGACAGAAATTTGATTGCAGTTATCTGGGTAATTCCATGATATATTGAAACTAAGTGATTTGTGATCACTTTCCCCAAGCTCATCATTAACTTCAAGATTATTAATTAGTGTATCTTAGTTGGCAAGAACCAAGTCAAGCAGATTGTTTCCTCTAGTTGGTTCTGTCACAACCTGTTCTAAAAAGCAATCCTGAACCGTATCAAGAAAGTCACTGGACTCAAGATTTCCTGTTGTATTGTTCCAGTCAGTTTGTCTAAAGCTAAAATCTCCCATTAACACAACATTTTCATATCTAGATGCCTTATGAATTTCATCCCATAACAGCTTACTGCACTCCCTATCAAGGTTTGGGGACCTATAAATCACACCCAAAATTAATTTGTCATGACCCTCGAGAAACTGTAGCCAAACGGATTCTGTGCCTGATGTTTATAATCATATATCATGTCTAAGACAACAATTTAAATTATCTCTGACATACATCGCCACTCCACCACCCTTCCTGTTGACTCTATCAGTATGGAAGAATTTATAACCCTGTATGTTGCATTCAGAAAACATTTCTCTATCTTTCAGGTTGAACCAGTCTATTATTCAAATTTCAAATTCAAATTCAAAGTTTATTCTCTATAAGGATTACAATGCTGAGTTTACAGAAATTTGGTTATTGTTTGGTTTACATGTAGTAAAATTGTGATTACAGAGTGTACCACTAGAACACCTAGCATGGCTAGGCATTACAGAGTGTACCACTAGAACGCTTAGCATGGCTAGGCATTTCGGGCATACTTAGTTTTATTCTTAATTGTAAAATATTACAAATTATGAGGTAAGTTGGTATTATGGCTAAGTGACTAAATACTAGTTTGTGAACCATACCCCCGGCCGGGATTGAACCCGCGGTCATAGAGTCTCAAAACTCCAGCCCGTCGCGCTAGCCACTAGACCAGCTAGCCACAATAAGATTCATCCAACTAGGTATATTTCTACACCATAGGAAAGTTAGCACAGGCACCTCTGTGACCACAAATGCAAGTTTTTACAGACGAATCTCCAGCTAGCGTGGCCGTGACGAACTCTAGCTCAAGTCCCTTCACTGCCGTCAACATGACTTAAGAAATCGTAATGACACGATTGCAAATAAACCATACCCCCGGCCGGGATTGAACCCGCGGTCATAGAGTCTCAAAACTCCAGCCCGTCGCGCTAGCCACTAGACCAGCTAGCCACAATAAGATTCATCCAATTAGCTGGTCTAGTGGCTAGCGCGACGGGCTGGAGTTTTGAGACTCTATGACCGCGGGTTCAATCCCGGCCCGGGGTATGGTTTATTTGCAATCGTGTCATTACGATTTCTTAAGTCATGTTGACGACTAGTTTGTGAGTTTAGCAATGTGAATGCTTTTGTTTTGGCACAGTACATAGTTATAGCAATAATATCTATATTACCTGCACTTGCAAGTAATCTTAGCTCATCTGTCTTATTTCTTACACTCCTATTATTTGTATAGTAAACCTTAAGGGAGCTAGTCACAGGTTACCCTCTACTATCCCTTTGTTTGTTGATGAATTGATTTGCCTTTACATGCAACTTTATTTTGAATATTTTCTTTTAAACATATCCCTGAGGTATCCTGGTAATATCTGCTGTTTCAACCTTAATACTGCAGCCTGATTGTTTCCCCCAAACACCCATACCTCTATAATCTATCAGTTTACACTCCAAGACAAGTCATCAATTAATTAACCCCCTCACTCGAATTGGCTAATGCAACCACTCCAGCCCCAGAGAGACGAGCCCCCATCCCTTGCATACATATCACGTTTGCCATAGAATTTGTCCCAGTTATCAGTGAATGGGATTGCAAGTTCCTTGTAGTACCTGTCTAGCCAGCAATTTATACCAATTGCCCTAGACATCCATTCATTGCCCACTCACTCCCTTTCTAGGCAAGATGCTACATATGACTGGGATCCCTCCCTTAGACCTGACCACTTCTATGGCTGACCTGTACTTATCCAGCAGCTCTCCTGTCTTCTGCCCTTCCCAGTGTCATTACCCCCAGCACAAAGACAGATAATGGGCATGTTCCCATTACCTGACATAATATTATCCAACCTGCTGACTATGTCACCAACATCAGCTTCTGGGAGACACATTCTCTGTCTGACCTTTCTATCTTACCTGAGAATATCCAACAATTAGAATATTCATATTTTGATTAGCAGGGGAACCAGCGGTACCTTCAACCTCACTAACCACTGAAGTACACTCATCCTGGAGAACAGAGAATAGATTTCCTATTTTCACATTTTCTCTGTTAACCCTCCTTATCTTCTTTCTGAACTGTGAACCACTTGCCACTATCACTGCTGGTGACCATTTCCTCCTTACCAGCTAAATCCATCTCGCTCTCCCAAACCCATCTATGCGAAGCTTCAGCCTCCTGAAGAAGTAGAACCTCCTTCAACACTTGAACCTGAGATTCTAAAACACAACAAGAAGCCATGGTGCTTGGTAACAGTGGCTTCAACATGCTGGTTTTCAAGTATTTTAGACAAGTCACAGAGAAAAATAAATTCTCAAATAGTAATTAGTTTAACTAGAGCATATTTTGAGATTATTACACAGAAAACTAATAGTTATGAAATATTCTATTATTATAAACATAGCAAGCAATAAACCTGTGAGGGTAATGTAGTGTCTGAGGAATAGGAGGAGTGACATCAGCAAATATTTCAGTGTTCATGACACACTGACATTATGACACTGTTGTTGGCCTACCTTGCATGGGCCAGTAGGCCTGCCGCAGTGTACCTTCTTTCATACGTTCTTATGTAATTTATAAATATGTTACTTTATATTAACTACATTTGCCATGACTTAACATACTGTTTGTATTCCTGAGCAGGTTAGCTCCACCAATTGCCCTCACCGGGGCTGTCCTGGCCACAATAGCCAGACATGTGCTGTATGGACCTATGATTGGCTATGTTGACAGAACTCTTATACAAAACTGCCGAGATTTTTGGTGGGCTGACTTTCTCTTTGCAACTAATTTTCTTAACCGTGCGGTAAGTCAATGTTTTATCTGCATGTGTGTGTGTATATATATATATATATATATATATATAATATATAATTATATATATATATATATATATATATATATATATATATATATATATATATATATATATATATATATATAATATATATATATATATATTAAGTATGATGAAGGCGGCTCAGTGGCTCATTCTACAGAGTGGCTCCCACAGTATGGCTCCTACTGAAAGGGCTGCGGCTGAGTGGCTCCTTTTCACACCTATGTGCTAATGACCTTGACCTTGCGCTCGAGACCATCTCGCCCTCGAGACCACCTCACCCTCAACCCACCCCCGCGCCCCCAGCGCCCCCCCACCCACGCCCCCCACCCGCGCCCCCACCTGCCCCCCGCCCTTGCACCCACCCACGCCCTGCCCCACGCCCACCCCTCGCGCCCACCCGCGCCTTCTGCTATGCCTTCTACAGCGTCGTCCGAATCGCCCCCGCTCCCCGAATTTTTTTCCGATTTTTTTTTCGAATTTTTTTGAATTTCTTGTGCTCTCCTCGGATCAAATTTTTGAGGTTCCCCCTCCCACTTTTACCCCCACCCCAAATTTTTTCGAATTTTTTTTTCTCGATAATACAAAGACTCCAATTCCTCGGATCAAATTTTTCTCGAAATCAAAGTCTCCATCTCCTCGGATCAAGTTTTCTCGATAATACAAAGACTCTACTTCCTTGGATCAAGTTTTTTGGATTCCCCCCCGCCCACTTTCACCCCCATCCCAAATTTTTTCGAATTTTTTTTCTGGATAATACGAAAGACTCCATCTCCTTGGATCAAAGTTTTTCTCGATAATACAAAGACTCCATCTCCTCGGATCAATTTTTTCTCGAAATCAAAGACTCCATCTCCTTGGATCAAGTTTTTTTTCTTGATAATACCAAGACTTCATTTCCTCGGATCAAGTTTTTGGATTCCCCCCTCTCAGGGTAAGCATTCAAATGAACTCCTCCTATGGGGCATGGTACTTTCTCTTACTACAGGTCTAAACAAGTGTGACGTCACCCCACCTGTGTTTACTCGGCGGTCAGTGACGTCACGTGATGACCTCACACATACAGGGTGAATCTTGTCGACTTCCCCCTATGTCAGTGACGTCACGCGATGACCCCACACACACAGGCTGAATCTTGTCGACTTCCCCAATCTCAGTATTACACATTTCATATACAACATAGGGAAAACATTTTCACTCTCAACCCAGGATAATCCAAATAATTTCACATTTTTTTCGTTAATACCCACAACAATCCACAATTTCTTTACAAAATACAACACAAGTCTAGACATATTTCTCGTTTTAACTATTTCATCAGAAAGTCACCACAACACTTATAACCACTTTTCGATAAATTCACTAGTCACAATTTTACATATTACGAAGTTAATACGCACACACACCTCACTTTTCTTTGAACACCTTCAAAACACTCTCATAAAACATTTGAATACTCACAAAAATACCTTTGAACATTTCCAAACAACACTGAAACACTTCCAAAATATCATTTTGAATACTCCCAAATAAGATTTGACAGCTCTAATTTATCTGCACTTACACATTTCATTAAATTACAACTCACTACCCAAACTCCTCCCTCAGTCTCCAGACTTCACAACATTATCACAAAAACTAACTCAAACACTTTGCTTTGAACATCACCAAAAAACACCATCAATTACCTTTAAATACTCCAAAAACATCATTCGAACACCCCCAAATCACCTCTGAATACTCCCAGAACACCTTCATAAGTACTCTTGCACATCATTTGAACACCTTCAAAAACACCTTTGAACATTTCCAAACAACACTGAAACACTTCCAAAACACCATTTGAGTACTCCCAAATACACCACTGAATACTACTAAAACACCACTGAATACACTCAAAACACCACCAAAAACACCATAAACTAAGATCAACACCCACATCCCACAACACCCACAACACCCACATACTACATCACCCACAACCCACATCACCCACACCCCACAATTTTTTCTCGTTTTAACTAATTTCATCAAAGTCACAACAACAACAACACTTATAATCACTTTTCAACAACTCTAGTTCGACAACAACACCCACAACACCCACAACACCCACACCCCACAATTTTTTCTCGTTTTAAATAATTTCATCAGAAAAAGTCACAACAACAACCCACTTATAACATCTTTTTTGGTATCTCTAGTTCGACAACAACACCCACATCCCACAACACCCACAACCCACAACAGCCACATCCCACAACAGCCACATCCCACATCACCCACAACCCACATCACCAACAACCCACAATTTTTTCTCGTTTTAACTAATTTCATCACAGTCACAACAACAACACCCACATCCCACATCACCCACATCCCACATCACCCACAACCCACATCACCCACACCCCACAACACCCACAACCCACAATTTTTTTTTCTCGTTTTAACTAATTTCATCAGAAAAAGTCACAAAAACCCACAACTTATAACCACTTTTTCGGTATCTCTAGTTCGACAACAACACCCACAACCCACAACACCCACATTTTTTTCTCGTTTTAACTAATTTCATCAGAAAAAGTCACATCAACAACCCACAACTTATAACCACTTTTTCGACATCACTAGTTCGACAACAACACCCACGACCACCAACACCCCACAACCCACAATTTTTTTCTCGTTTTAACTAATTTCATCAGAAAAAGTCACAAAAACAACCCACTTATATCATCTTTTTGGTATCTCTAGTTCGACTACATTACCCACAACCCTCATCAATTACCAATTTATTCACAATTTTTTTCCCCTTCTTTTTACTGAATCTTAAATGTAATACACATTCCTCTTTACATTACTAAAATTCTAATAAAATCCTCTCCATACCCATCTCCTTGTATCCACATAAATTGATATTATACTCGCATCAACTAATCTCACTACCCAACTATTGCGACATGTTTCAACACCCTCCATTCTTTTCCAATATATCATAACTTTTCAATTATATAATTTCTTTTTAAAATATTCACACATTACCTTTATTTTCAGTAAAATCTCCCCATATTTCATTAAATTTCTAATACAACCCTCCCCATACCCCTCTCCATCTCACCCACATTTCTTCACATCCACTCACCCATCTCCCAACACACCTCTTCTGAACACACACAAAAATCACATTTCACATCCACAAATGCATCTCATCACCCATCTCAAATCCACTAAAATCACTGTAACCAAGATATTCACAAAACTCTATGACCACCTAACACACACACACACACACACACACACACACACACACACACACACACACACACACACACACACACCTCACTTTACTTTGAACACCTTCAAAACACTCTCATACATCATTTGAGACCACCTTTTCTCAATATCTCTCATCCACAACCTTTATCATCTCACTACAGAACAACCCCAAGATTACTTCGAACACTCTCATAAATCATTTGAATACTCACATAAACACCTTTGAACATTTCCAAACAACACTGAAGCACTTCCAAAATATCATTTTGATTACTCCCAAATAAGATTTATCATCTCTAATTTTATCTACACTTACACATTTCATTAACTGAAATTACAACACATCCACCATACTACTCCCTCAGTCTCCAGACTTTACAACATTAACACAAAAACTAACTCAAACACTCATAACATGAGACATTTTACCAAAACTAACACAAACACATATCTGTTATATCTCCAATATCTAAGATCACCACAAATCAAGACGCCTGCCAAATTCTATAACCCCACCACTAAGATCACACATTTTTTTTTTTTGTACACATTCTCTTAAAACATCATCATAACGAAGATCACTAAAACTATCTATACTTTTACTAAGATCACATAACATTTTGTCTTCTCTAACTCACCCACCAATTCACATTATCATTCTCACTTACACATTTCATTAACCGAAACACAACACAAATAACCCGCACATAAAAGACAGAAGCTTACGACGACGTTTCGGTCCGACTTGGACCATTGACTTTGTCAATGGTCCAAGTCGGACCGAAACGTCGTCGTAAGCTTCTGTCTTTTATGTGCGGGTTATTTGTGTATCGTTCCAGTCACGGTATTGTGCCTTTTTGTTATTCATTAACCGAAATTACATCTCATCCACCAAACTCCTCCCTCATTCTCCAGACTTTACAACATTAGCACAAAAAAAAACTAACTCGTACACTTATGACATGAGACATTACCATATCTAACACACTGACTAACTTTGAACCAACTCTGAACACCACTGATCATCTTCAAAAAATACTCTGCACATCATTTGAACACCATCAAACACCTCCGAATACTCCCAAAACACTACAGGTACATTACTACCAAATCACCACTGAATACTACCAAATCACCGTCAAAATCACCAGAAACTAAGTTTAACATCACCATCTAACATCCTTTTTATAGAAATCCCCTCAAATCACTATAACCAAGAACTCCCTCCCCATTTGGCGCATAAAAAAAAAAGCATGAACACAAACCTAATATGCAAACACTTAGTACATGATCACCATCAACTGAAAACATATCTTGTACACACACATAATCTAAGACAACCACCAACTACAATCACCCATGTTCACTTACCTCAAAAATCACTAATATCACAGAAAACACTCATTTTTATAAACATTTCACACACAAAAAAATCATATTTGACAATATCTAAGCGCACTCACCTCACTACCACCAACACATGATGTCACACCTCACAGGACCGACGAGCTCACCTCCAGTGACGTCACACTCCCATTGTGTTACTTGGTGGTTGGTAACATCACACCCAACCCACCTTGTTTCAACCTGTTGTACCCTACATTATCTAAGAACGATTACCAGATTTTATAACCCCACCACCAAGATCACAGAAAACACACATTTTTATAATTATTCACACAAAAATC